AAATATTTTTCTTTTTTAATATATATATATATATATATATATATATAAATTGGTGATGCACAATGAACAATGATGTTAACATTTTCTTCAAAACTTATTAACCACTGTACTGATTCAATTTCTCCAGTCAGTTCTTTGGCCAAATAAAAAGAAACTAAACAGTGTTGTTTACCTACAGAGTCAAAGGTACTGTGTTGAATAAACCAACATGTTTTCTTTTTACCCAAAGTAACTCTCACAAAGAAATGTGTTAATTAATTTCACTCTATTCAAATTCCAATAAAACAACTGTAAGCAAATTATTTTTTACTATTTCTGTCACCAGAAAATAATATGAATTAGAGTTATTTGGCTAAATATCAGTCAGTGGTCCCCTTAAGAAAAACAAATAAGTTTTAGCAACATAGTGCACAAAATATATAGTATGTGTTGTGTATGAAGGTAAAGCACAAGACATAAATAATACTGGGACTCTCACATACATATATTTTATCTACTATACTCACTCTCCTCTCACATGCAGACATGCTTCTCTCACATGCATATATTCTGCTCTCACATTAATAAATTCTTCTCTTACATGCATGTCTTCATCTCTCAGATACATAGATACAGTATTTTAAATGAAATTATATATATTTCAAAAGCTTTCTGCTTTCAAAAGCAGAATTAAGTCCTCTTTAACTTAATATTTATCTTTCCTCCCTTCCACTCCTTCATGTGGCTATCAGTTTTCCTGCCGCCTTTTTGATCCTATAAAACCATCTTCCTTTTTTCTCTTTGTCATACTTTTTTTTGCAACTCTAATTTTACATTGACGATTCTCCTTCACCCTGATTGTGTTATATATCCTCCCTAAGTTCTCTCCCTAGTTGGGTGGGTTGGGTTGTAACCCTTTTTGTCTCATAGGGTTGCAATCATTACACACACTTCATGCATTATTTAGACTCCATATATTAAAGACATAAAAACCTGGAATTACTAAACATTCTGCTTTTAAATCCAGATAATACAGAAGCTATTGTCTTTGAATCTTAAAAAAAAAAAACAGAAGCTGATTGGTGGGTCACTTCCTCTTGAAGGATTAAAAGGGTCTCAGATAATAATGTAAAATATAAAGTTTGTGTTATTTTAATTAGGACTTGTCATTTAAGTCCCATATCAGGTTTCCAGCATTCCCTTCTTTGATCTCTGTAATAATTCAAAAATTAGAAATACCTGATCCAGGGATGATACTGAGAAACTAGTCAATGTTTTTGTTAATGTAGGGCTGGACTAAAGCCTCCAGCTAATCCAAAAATGCTGCAGATAGAGATCTAATAAAAAATATGAATAACAAAGCCTGTCTTATATCAGAGATATTATTGTACTTTATGTTCCTAACAGAGCACTTCGCTCTCAATCAGCAGTTTTTACTAGTGGTGCCTAGAATCTCCAAAAGTAGAATAGGAGGAAGATCTTTTAGTTATCAGATTGCACTCAAGCAGAATCAGCTACTAGATATATTCTATGAGGCAGACACACCGCCTCATTTTAATACTACGTTAACAACATCACTTTTTGATAAATACTTCAGAAGAAGATCTAGAGCTGTGAAATGTCAGTCATTAAAAAAAAGATACTACACAATAATTAAAATGAGACAAAATTATTGTTGACGGTATTTTTTTTACTTTGTTTCACTCTGGTTATTCCACCTTATCAAGAGTTTTTTTTTTCATTTATAAAAAGGAAAAGTATGTAAAAATAACCTTTTAAACTGTATTATTTTTACAGAAATAAATGTCACAATAGTAATTACATTAATTGTAGAGTTTGGCATAGTTTTAGATTGTCTCCTTAACTGATACCTCTACACACACAGCCCACCCCCACCGCATGGAAAAACCTTTGCCTTGTTTGTAAAGTCTGACAATGAATGTGTAATGCTGGATTTAAAGCGATGCTACAGGGAAATCTAAAGGTAAATGCTTGTCTCAGATTAAGCTGTAATAGTTTTTTTTGTTTTTCGTTATTTTCTTACTTTAAGCATGTGGGTTTGGATGAAACACTGGCTCAGTTTGAAGTAGATCTCAAAATGCATACCTGATAAACTTCAAAAGTGTAATGTTTATGGAAATGTTAAGGACACAAAAAAGAGGCCTGCAAAATAATAACAGGATTATTTTATAAAATAACTGCTCAAAGTATCGAATGCCTCTATGTGCTGAGACTTACAAAGAAAAATGACAAAATAACAGAAACTAAATTATTCCATATGAATTAAAACACTAACTACTTTGAAATTTCAATAAGAGATTTAAGTAACCTGATCTTAAAATGAATCAAATTGCCTATACTGTATATCTAATAAAAAAATATTTAAATGCCAACTTAACAAAGACAGTCTAAGATTGCTGATGAAGGTTCCCAGTCATCCAGGTCATAGTCATTCCGTAAAAATTCAAAAAATATCCATCTTGGAAACCAAGTCCAGTGGATATTTTTTGAATTTTTACGGAACAGTCTAAGATTGTATGGCCACCTATGTTAATGACTCTAAAAAGACTATTGAGCGTTGCAATACAGTCATGTTTCAAATGAACTGATCTCAATTAGTATTGCCAGCAGGTAAAATTTTTTTACCAAAAATTTTATTTATTTACATTTATTAAAATGTATTTAAAAAGAAAATAAGAGAGCTGCTTCAGAAGCTTAACCCTGTAATGCTAAATGTATCATATTTGATACATACGGTTTCTGAAAATGTTTTGCGTCTGACACCTTTGGCATAATTTAATGGTAAAAACTTTGCTCAAAATCCTATTGTACACAATCAGATATACCTGATAACAGAGGGCAGAAGACTACACAAAAAATAATCGTGACTTATCGCATAGTAATAAATTATTAATTGTTTTTTCTTTTTACATATTTTGTTAAAAGGCCAAATAAGGAATTCAAACCAAAAAAAAGTAATTTTCTGTTTTGTTTTATTCTTGGATTGGGCTTTAAAGGGTTAAAAATAAAATATTGGACAGTGCTGTTAAAGGGTGAAGCTACATGAAGGACCCAATGACAAAACTAGGGTCATTTATTGTGGCTGAAGCCGCCCTAAAATATTCTCAACCCCGAAATATGCTCATAAAAAGTGACTGAACCAGCCTAGGTTCAAGTATACACTGGAAAAAATGGAAATCTAGAAAAGTCATTTTTTCTTCAAATAAGTGCATTTGTGCTTGGATTGATGAGGTAAAAGACACATTTTGCCAATTTAACAAGGCAATTTACACTTAAGATAAGAAAACACAATTGCATTGTCTTATTTCAAGTGCATATTATTAATTATCTTATTTTAAAAGTAAAAATACTCATTCGATTGGCAAACTATCTCATTTACCTACTCAAATTTAGGATAAATACACTTAATTTAAGAAATTTCTAGTTATTTCCGGAGCGTTTTTACAGTGTAGCGGAGACAAATTTTGGTGTCGCAGCCCGCTACGCTGAAATACACTGGGAAGTTGGGACTAGATGTGTTGTTAATGTTATCCAGGTCTGACTGTATTTGAGACAATTTCTTTATAAACTATCCACAGAGAAGCTAAAATATCACTTTTGATGGCTGTTTAAAGAAATAACTTAATACTTTTTGAGTTTTCTTTTTTTGAATCTTTTCTAAAATAATTAAAATTGTTATGCAGCAAAATCACTTTTGACCACATTATGACCAGAATGGATTTCACAGAGATGTATGGATCTTTTTTTAATGTTTTATTTTAATTTTTTTGTTTATGTTCCACTTTTCATGGAAAAAAAAGTGCATCAATAAGGTAATATTCAGGTCTATTTAAGTTTGATCAAATTAACCGTTTTTTCCTAATTTGACTAATTCATTCTTATGTAAAAACATATAGAAACAAATTTTCATATAACAACAGATCAATGCAAAAGTAACATGAAAAAGTGATAAGAAGTTACAATGTATAAAAAGACACTTTCATTGTTTTTAGATGACATGATTCATAATGAGAGGAGAAGCACCTCTTTCTATTCCAGTAAAGGTCAAAACATTCATTGCACATGTTCACTTTTCCCTTGCGAACTTTCCTCTAACACCATTTTCAATAAGTACCACTCAGTGAGAGGTCAGAGACTGAAAAAGGTCAGCAAATAAGAACACCTCAGGGGAAAGCAGTTGATTTCTGTCAACTGCTTAAGACTATTTCTGTCAACCTGGAAAATTCAAATCTGTGGCAAAAGATTTTAAGAGCAGAGGATGTGTAACATTAAACAGGTGTCACATACATGTTTGTCACAAAATGTGTTTCAATAAAAACCAAGGTCAAAATATAACTCAAGTTTATGAGGTTTTTGTAGCCCTTTAAAACATATAATTGCCAAACAATGGGAATGTCAGCAGAGTGGTGATGAGAAATTCTGCACATTCGAGAACACTTTGACCTTGAAGTGTTAGTGAATGGAACATTTTGCTGTTAAAACCTTGACCAACAAACACATTTCTAATAGAATCAGAAGTTTCAGGTCCGTTCTTTGGTTTTTGATTAAGCCCAAGCAGAAGGGATAGCAGAAAAATGTTACCTTCAGCCCCGAGGTCAGGTCGGCGGGGTCAAAGGTGGTCAGTGTTGAAGTCCAGGACGTGAGCCATAGGACACGACAAAGGGTGCAACACACATTGGTGGAGGTCACAGAAATGCACAAAGATATTGTAGCAGGGAGAGGGATGAGAAGCATGGTCAAAGAAAGGAAAACAATGGAGGAGAGGTAACGGGTGATGAAGAAGAGGACATGGACGAGAAGAAGATGAAAAGGATTAAACAGAAAAAAAGGGATTTGGAAGAAAAATGGAAGGATATACAACACAGAGGGGAGGTAGATGGCAGAGGAGGAGTTTGTGAGGGAGAACTGTAGCTTTAAACAGCTGGGAGCGTAGAGGCTGAGTCAATTCCTCTAAAAAAGGAAAAAAAAAGAAACAAACAAAAAAAAGAATGAACCCATACCTTGGTCGTTTAACGTCAGGTGCGCCAGACCTTGAAAGGGAAAAAACAGAAAAAAGGAACACAAAGGAAGAAAAGAAGGTCATAAAAGGCACGGGAAGAAAAAAAGCATTGTCACAACGTTGGACTGCAGTTTGTGACAGACATCCTGGGGCAGACTTGGATGTCAGAGTTTAAACCAAAGTAAAAAAAAAAAAAAAAGAGAAAAAAAATAACTAGAAAGAGAGAAAGATAGAGATATAGAGCGAATAACAACAGAAAACAAGCAAACACTTCTTGAGTGAGGTGTGAGGGGTTTAGAAAAAAAAGCATTTTCATTTGGCGCAACCCCCGAAGGCTATTGCTCACACAAATGCTTTTTTTTTTCCACTGGAGTACTTATGGAACACACAGAGAACTGTTTGGCAAAATAAAGGCTTAAATCTTATTCATTATCTTCAGCACTTCTCAAATTAAGAAACAAGACTCAAAACTCTTGCAAAAAAGACAGCGCCTTTTAAGAGCATTGACATCCACATTGTCATAAGACAACAACACACCTCGACAAGATTAGTTCTGACGTACATAATCAATCAACACAAAGTCATACATAACTATAGAGCTTAAGGTTTCTTATTATTTGTTGGAAAAAATGCTTTTTCCACAAAGATTGTTATGAAAAAACTAGATGGGGGGGAAAGTAACTTTGCACATTACCCTGAACAGATCATCTTTTCACAATGGTGGCATCGTCATCCTATGGGGATGAAAACATGGCAGATACAAACGCAGAATAATCCTACCAAACAACCTGTTAGAGCTTGCAAAAAAAAAAAAAAATACATAAAACTGAGACTTAGGTATAGCTTAATCTTCCAGCGGGATACTGAAAGTAAATCAAATCAATCATGTGCCAGAAGGGTCCAGTCAATTTGTAGACATAAATCTGATTAGGAAACTGTGGGGGAAAAAAAAAAAAAGAAAAATACTAATTTTAGGGCAATTTTCATTCAATATCAGAAAAGTGGGTCAAGAAATATTATTATATTACGATACATATATATCTTTTTTTTATTTGCAAATTGGTTTGAGACAGTGAAACATCTTCAGATGGGATTTAAAAAATATACTTCCAACATAACAACTAAAGCTAAATACTAAATCACAAAATCTATATTTAAAAAAAAATCTTAAAAAAAAAAATCTTGTAATCATGTCTTATTTTCTTTTACTTTAAAATTAAATTATTATTAAGTTAAACACATTGGAGCTGGTTCTGTAAGTATGACAGTAAGTAATTAATATTTTTCTATGACACCCTACAACTTGACATTAAACTCGTTGGATAAAATAGCAACATCACAACCGCAGCCCAAAAACCTTCACTTACTAGCTAATGGCTATGTTCCAAATAACTTATTTATTCATTTATTACAGTGCAAGATCTCCAATGAACCTTCTGTTGTCACAACCAGACAGACATAAGTGTAAGAAAAGCAAAAATACGTTCAAAGCTTCCTAAAGTGAAACGATAATCTTTAGCTTAATATAGCACTTAGCACTAATAAGAAAAACTTAAATGACCTTGCAACAATAAAGTATTTCACTGACTCTTTCTGTCCAAGTGTGTATCTGGAAACACCAAATAAAAATTATATATATATATATATATATATATATATATATACATACACACAGTTACATGCATAGCACATACACTGTGTTTCGGAAAAAAATACTTAAAGGAAAACACTGTTAGAGTGGAAAATTAAACCCTATAGCCTAAAGCAGAGCACATTTCTAACTAAAAGAAATTGCATTTATCCGTAGGCAACAGCAGGATATAAAACGGCATTATGTGTCACAAACAAGGAGACTGAAAAGGTCAAATCTTTTCAAGTCAGCCTGTCTTTCACTGATCGATACCAGCACAAACACAAAGCTTCTGGCCCTCCAAGCGAACAATCGAATGTCAGCAACAATTCAGCATCAACAGCTCTGTTTTGGCACTGTACGAAAAAAATAAAACAACAACCAACTCATAACTTTCCAGCACAAATAGAAGACATGAAGACAGAAAACTGCAGCAACAAGTCATGTAAGACAACTACATTAAAAGCTATATTCAGAATTACTTTTTTACGGTCTTCGAAGTTGCTGGTCATAACATAAAGGTCTGTTATCAAGTATGCTATTGAAAGATAAGTCAAATATCTAAGCTTTATAAGTACTGTTACATTTAGATTTTTGCATCATTACACCAAGTTTATCTACCAAAAAAACTTTCCTCTATGGTGAATGCAGTAGGAAGGCTGAGATCTGCAGACCCACATTTCAGCTGATGATGGACGTTTGTTAAGATTAAAAAGAAACATGAATTTATGTTATCAGAGACCAGAAAACATACATTATGTTAATAGAATTCTCTTACTGCTAACCTATAGCCAACCATAACCTAGCCAAGCTTAGCAAAGAAACTTAAACACCTACAAGCTATCCCTGTTGTCCTTTTTTCAAATGCAGCCTGTGATCCAGGAAGGAAAGAAAATGACATGAAGAGTGCCTTATTTATCTGACAGACGTCCATTTTCCGTTGGCCCTTTTCATAAAGACCAATCATTTCTACTTTGGCATTTTCTTCTCTTTGCTCATTAGCCATTAAAGAGATAAGGGTAAAGCTCCTGCAATAAAACAGAGAGTTGCTGTCGCTGCATAAAAAATGAAATACACCACTGTTCCTCTGTCCTATCATTCCAACCCGACATGTTTCAAAACAGCCACAAAAAAAATCACAATTTTATGAACAAATTTAAATAAACAACAACCAGGTAACCTGATGTGTAGAGAAAAATAAGTGCTGTAGCAGCAAGTTGTTAAAAGGCTGGTATTTAAATATATGCTTTCAGCCTCAGTTTTATAGTTGTGTTAACAAACGTTATTATTTATACAATATTTATACTATTATCCTAAATTGTTAGGAAAAAAGAATTTAAAGTATGCTCGAATCACACTTTGACCATTGTGGCCATTTCTCTTTCGAGAAAACTGGTAGACTGTATCCCAAAATCAGCACTACACCAGTTCCCCTTTATAAAGCTGGTACTTGATTGATCTTCACATAAGGGTTTAAGTGCAGATCACAGAAGCGTGCAAAATCAGACAATTGGAACAGTATACATCCCAAGTAGAATACCCCAAATTAAAGGAAAATCCGGTCAGCAAGGAATAATCAATGGATCATTATCTGTACCTAAAACTAATATTCAATGGTGATTAAATACATTTTGGGTTCATCGGTAAAAAAATAAAAACAATCATTTTCATTGCGATCACTTAGTTCGGGATCGGCCATTCGCTCCTGACATCAGTGTCGTCACGATGCAGTAACACTGGCGCCATTCTCCTCTCTATACAACCAAAATCAATGGGAACTTCTAGACACATCTGCAATAAACAACGACTTCACCATTGAAATTCACCAGAGCTATAGTTAAACTGACAGTACCCACTTGCATGGCAGATGGATGTTGTAAAACATCGGCTAAAAGTAAAAAAAAAAATAAAAAAAAAGAGTTATTTCACCTTTCCGATTCATGATCCACCACGGGTTCGTCATTGGAATGCCAATGTGAAGAGGGAGGATTTGCCATTGTTTTGGCCAGGGAAAAAACACGTAATATGTATCCAACATTTTGAAGAAGAATGTCTTCAAGATAACTCGGATAATGTGCGTTGTGTCAAACACCAGATACAACACTGGGACTCCGATACAGCACCATGACGAAACAAGATGGCGGTAGTGTTCTTTGACAAACATGGATGTCTCTGGTAAAGCATATTCAAATTAAATTACTCTGAATTAAAAACATTAACCATTTATTGAACAGTATGTAATAATTTCATATTTAAAGTACCTTCAGAAATTTGAATTCTCAATATGCCCAGACTTCTGCTTTCACAAGCTGAAGCTGATCAGGCTACGACCTCGCTAGCGCCAAAAGCTAGCAAATGGTATGACATAAAGGAAATGCTGGTTTTTCACTCACTCTTATTTACTAATCACTGCGTAAATCCTATAGTTGAGTTGTGTGACCATCCTGCCGCCGAGGAGTGTTCTGTATTGTTGATTTTATTACTCTCCTAGTGTACAAATCTTATGATTTGTTCACACTATCAAACTCTGTAGTAATATGAACGAATCATACCCTGAATAAGAAAGTATATGAATCACTATGAGGGGCACTCAGCCACACACTATACCAATGAACTGAGATTAGACAGACAGGATCCCGGATAGATAATACATTGATTTACATGAATTTTTTTCAACATTGCAGATATGTTTTTTTTTTTTAATAATTAATAGATCTTTTTGTTCATGTCAAAAGAGAGTCATAGCATTTATCCTTTTTTCTTCTTGAGTTCTAGAACTTCCAAATAATTTAAAGTGACAGTCTGAAATGTTTGTCTGATCATTGCTACTAGATTTAACCATCAAGGAACATAAAAACGCTGTTAAAGTTTTTACGTATGATTATAATTCCTAATGTCAGTAAATTCATGATCAATATTTTGTTTTTGTTTTTTTTATAAAGGGACAGAAAAATGTAGTTCAGGCATTGAATTGTTGGACAGTTCAAAGAATGCGTCGATTAATATACCCAACAACTAATTATTCGGACATCCATATGGAGCTTTGCATCCTTAAGCTTGGACTACAAAGTCCATGACCTTCTTTAGCAGCTTTGCAGCCAATACTGTGATGCTATTGTTAAAAAAAACATTTAAAAGGAAATGGAGAAAAACAATATAAATCAAACAAATGTGTAAGCAGAATAAAGATATCTATGCAGCACTTAGAAAGACTGAAATATTAATATTTTTTTGTATTTCTAGAGACTCACAATGATTCTACTGTATAGTAGTTAGCTCTTTATCTTGTTTCGATTGGAAAAACAAAGATAGAAAACACATCCAGGATTAAATATCAAGTTATCTGTATGGTGGATTATTGTTCAATTCTAATGGCTATTGTGTTCAATCGCTGTTAAACG